ATTTTTGAGGGCGTATTAGCAAGATTTTTTCACCGAGCCTATATATTAATTTCCTCGTCCTGGTGGTACTATATTCAAATAGAAATTCGACCTCTAGTAAACCACTATTACGATAACCACAATGATAAGACGGAATTTGTGGTTGTTTTGAATAATATTCGACGTTTCTCTCGTAGAAGGCACCCTATTTGAGTTTTAACAAATGTTATAATTCAAATCAGCGGGAAAAATTGAGTCAACTTATTTATGTTTCAAATGTCTTTCACAACGCTTTATAAGGGTCTAAATTTGACCCTTGCCTTCCCCTTGTGGATATAATTGAAAATGAACTTGATTATAAAAGCGTTTTAGATATGAAAATCAAATCAGTTTTCTGTGTTGATTCGAAATACATCATTTTTCAAGTCCAGCTTGATTTCTTCTATTCGAAAACTGTGCAATGCTAGTCAGAAATTAAAAAGATTAGTTCACAGGAGTAGTAGCTATAGCAAAACTGTTTCCGAAACATTGAATTCCAGGTTAAAATTGTATCATCAGAAATAGTACATTGTACTACATATAGGATAAAAAAATCTCCGTGGTACGTTCGCATAGAAAATAAGTTCATAAAACTAAAGCATCATTCTTTTTAACAACCTTCTATATACTCTTATATCCTAAGAAATTCTGTGTCGAATGAATCTATTTTTGTGAGATCATAATTGGTCTTGCATGGACTTTCAGGTCAAAAACCTGGATTTAGAGCTTCTAGAAAGTGCTTTAGATGTTTTTTTTATTATCTGGTCAATCATTTTTAAAAAATGCTACATTTGTAATCAAGACACGGAACTCTATCGCAACAGAAGTGCCTCCATTAAAATTGGCACAGAATGTTTTTTCGATCCCTGAGAGAGACTTCAGGCATGACCAACTAAGTTTTAATAACGTAGCATATAATCTAGTGGAAAGTAAGCAGCAATAAGTGCTGACTCTCAAAATAATAAGGTTGGCTTCAGATTTGTCAGTAAGCTAGCTCTAGGGAGGGGTGGACCGTTTCCCCACTTCATAGAGAAACCGTTCCACTTCTAGGAGAAATGTTTTAACCTCAAAAAGTTAAGCAGAAATTCTTCTTTCAACATCGAATTCCCCCTCCAATACAAATCAATACTTCACTATATACCATAAGAAACGGTTACTTTTTAAGAGGAAATCCTTCATCCATATCTCCAGTTATAACGAGAAATGGAAATAAAGTGTAGAGAAATGGACAATTAATTTTGATCCATTTCTCTATTTATAAAGAGAAATGGAATTTATTCAAAGAGAAATGGATTATTTTATTTTCTCTCTTATACACGATTTTCTAGCAGATATGGATTCTTTCCAGCAGAAATGCTTAAAATTCCAAGAGAAATGGTTCATCCATTTCTCTATGTATAAAGAGAAATGGATTTATTCAAAGAGAAATGGATTGTTTTATTTTCTCTCTTATACACGATTTTCTAGCAGATATGGATTCTTTCCAGCAGAAATGCTTAAAATTCCAAGAGAAATTCTTCATCCATTTCTCTATGCATAAAGAGAAATGGATTTATTCAAAGAGAAATCGATTATTATATTTTCTCTCTTATATAGGATTTTCTAGCAGATATGGATTTTTTCCAGCAGAAATGGTTAAAATACCAGGAGAAATGGTTCATCCATTTCTCGCTTTATAAAGAGAAATGGATTTATCCAAAGAGAAATGGATTATTTTATTTTCTCTCTTATATAGGATTTTCTAGCAGATATAGATTCTTTCAAGCAGAAATGGTTAAAAAACCACGAGAAATGGTTCCTCCATTTCTCTATGTATAAAGAGAAATGGATTTATTCAAAGAGAAATGGATTATTTTATTTTCTCTCTTATATAGGTTTTTCTAGCAGATATGGATTTTTCCCAACAGAAATGGTTAAAATTGCAGGAGAAATGGTTCATCCATTTCTCTATGTATAAAGAGAAATGGATTTATTCAAAGAGAAATGGATTGTTTTATTTTCTTTCTTATATAGGATTTTCTAGCAGATATGGATTTTTTCCAGCAGAACTGGTTAAAATAGTAGGAGAAATAATTCATCCATTTCTCTACGTAGAAAGAGAAATGGATTATTTTATTTTCTCTCTTATATAGGATTTTCTAGAAGATATGGATTTTTTTCATATGAAATGGTTAATATAGCTGGTGAAATGAGTTAGTTTTCGTTACGTTATTTTCCATCTTAATAAAAGTAATCATTTTTTTGTATGGTAAAGATTGAGTTAAGATTCCGCTTGTTCTTGTGCATTTTAATCAGAAAAATATTTTTTTTTTCATCTGATGGAGATATAGATAGTTTTTCTTTAGTTTTCATTCCATCTTAATAAACACTATCATTTTCCTCATCTAGTAAAGATAGAGATAGTTTTCCTTTAATTTTATTTCATTCTAATGAAAATAATGGTTTGTTCACTTAGTAGAGATGGAGATAGTTTTTCTTTATTTTTCATTCCATCTTAATGAAAACAGGCATTTTTCGCATCTAGTGCAGATAGAGGTAGTTTTTCTTTAATTTTATGTCGTTCTAATGAAATAATCATTTTTTTTCATCTAATAGAGAAAGAGCTAAGTTTTCTTTATTTTTCCATATAATAGATTATATCTATATATATATATTTTTTTCTTTCTTTCCATTTCTCCTTGTTGAACCATTTCCCTCTGAAAGAAAAACCATTTCCCTCTAAGTTCAAGTATATGGACAATATCATATAATAGATTATATATATTAGTATTTTTTCTTTCTTTCCATTTCTCCTTGTTATGCATGATTTTATGTGGGGTGAAGCATTTCTCCATAAACGGGAACAATTTCCCCAACGACTTCGTACTATTGTCCACTGCTGGCTCTAGGTCACGGTCTCCTCTTGAACATAAATCAAGATATACGCAGCAAGAAATAGAATAAATGTGTAGTTCAAGAGTTTGAATACGGGATGAATTGAATTCGTACAAATAGCTTACTAGATGGAGCTTTCACGATGATTATGAATCCGAATTTGAAATGTTGTTTTAGACGTGAAACATTTGAATAAATATCGAAATAGTGCGAAAATACAAATAAAATACTATAAAAATAACCGTCTTTTTGCACTTTTGATCCTATTTTATAAGGAATGATATTCCCATGAAAAGTTAAATATACAGTTCGATAGAACCGAAGCCCTTCTATTGAACTGCATATGCCACCAAGTGCAGAAATTCAATTTTTTGAAAATTCATAAGTCAACTTTTTTTTCTCTTTTTTTAGGTATTCATAGAAAAAGTGCATCCTAGGGAAGTCCAGAAAAATACTAAGAAAGTGCTTTCAAAAATACATAATATTAGATATTTTGCAATGTTCCATACGAATCTGAAACGAAAATTTTGATTTGAATAATATTGAAATGATAATTGGCTAAAGTATTGTAAACGATTGCATTTGAAATTGGAATATTGACTGAAATATGTATTTTTCAATATTTCGTGATTGATCTCTTATTAAGTATTGAGTAATAGACTTTTTTTATAGCCAAAATGATCAGCGCAGAAAGTTCTATCAAATGAATCTATTTCAGAATGATTTGAAAACACTCTTGTAAATCGTGAGAGGAAGCTAGCGGAAATGCTCTCCACTTTATTATACTAAACTACAGTGTGTAATTGGAAGCATCTAGCTACCGACTGTGTAATAAATAAATGTGGTACAGATAAGCGTGTGAGAATTTCAATAATTTTATGATGACAGAAAAAAAAAATAATGAGTGAGATGAACAATTCGATGAACATGCATACTTCATTACAAGAAAGTAAAAGAAAGGAAAGGAGAGAGGAACGACTTACACACGGAATCAAAAGACAAAATTAGCAAACAAATAATGAACACCTGAAATCTACATGAGACTTCGAATTCCAACTCCAATGATGTTAATTTAAATTATAGGAAATCGAATACGTCATATCTTCCTTATTTACTTATGTAACATAGTTGAAATTATCACAAAATTCAGTTTTATTATTTTGATCGTACTAAATTACTTGAGCTATTTTCTTTTCTAATTAAGTTTAACAGCTCTTGTCATGAAACGGTGGTCTTGACAGTCATCTTTTTCATCAAAAATTTTCGGTGTCGGAGTGAACAAAAAGTTTGATTCCACAAGTCTTACAAGTACATTTGTTAGTGCAAGTAATTTGAAAAATCGCTTTCTAATATTAACAGGACATACGTTTCGTCCATCAATATAGCCTGTTTGTCTCAGCATTGTCAATGTATACGATTCTAAACTTTTGTCATTTCATATCTCGCTATAATATGATTATAAACTTGACCATGCTTTCTTTCATTCTACTCTATCCAACAATAGTTTCATTAATGATGCTGTGTTCATTAGTAACATGGTATACAGTAGGCACGTTTCTAAAGAAGGATCATCAACATTATATGAACAAGGCGTCACATCGTCAGCAGGAAAAAAAGATCGTTTTTCATAAAGAGACACATCTTATCATCATTAAATACTGAAACCATTTTCAAAAAGATGCTTCCGGAATAAAGATAACAACTGTCACATTTTGCTTATTGAATTGAGACGTTACAACGAAGTTTAACTCGAACATTCATCTCATTCAAAAAGAAGTATAAAAAAAGATGGAAGTCAATATACCATTGACTCGTTCTGTCTTTTTCGGAATTTTATTGGCTTTGATGATTCCTTCAGTCATTTGTTCTTTTTTCATCTTGTATCATTTTACTCGATCTCGAGAACTTATTAAACGACTCAACAATCATGTTATTCTTGCTTTGTTATCCATCAGTTTAATCCAGGTCAGTAATGAGTAGTTAATAACCAAGAAAATAATGCTCTTTTTTTTCGAAAGGTGACCACGGAAATGCCGTTTGCATTATTTGTCTTGCATACAGGCTTTGTAGCTGTACAGTCACGTACATTCTGTCTCTTTTGGCCTGTATATAACTACGCACTGTCCGTCATTGGTCTCATGTTCATGACTTTTGGATGTATCGAGCGGTACTTTCTTGTTTTCTGTCGAGTCTTCTTCAACAAACATCTGATGATACTTCATTATGGACCGCTAGTCTTCTTTTTGATATATCCACCTTTGTTGTACTTTGGATTGATCGTCATCTACTCATGTGAAACTGTCTTCGATTACACACAACCCGTTTGTGCTGGTGCATGTTATCAATACGAGGTACGTTTCAACGATCGGATCAAAAGTGTTATCTTATATCATACTTGACTAACATGCCACATAGCATTTCAGAAAAGAAGTCATCATTCATCTGTTTTGTCAACATGGAGAAAAACCAAAGCGTTTTATTTTACAAACAAAAAATCTTGTTTTCATTCGTTGAGTATTACATAACTTCTATTATCTAAGATAAATATCACTCACTAGACTTTGATGACTATTGACAAAAGAATAAACCATGATTAGTTTAGAATAATTTGTTAATAAGTTATTTTTGAGGGCAAACTACTTTTTTTTTACAGGTAAAAGCATGATTTCTTCTGAAAAGGAAAGTGCAAAATTGGAACATGCTATATTCCAACATTTCTATTCCTGAAGATGTAGAGTCTCTCGCGACTTCAACTTTTAGAATTTGGATCTAAATCTCTTAATTAATTATTTCTACTCAATTAGATATTTTTTTCAAACATGATCTAGAGAAGATATTTCAAAATTTCATTCATAAGACCTCATTAGTTCATAAGCAATATAAAGTCGGTCCTTACATTTGACGCTATTCTTAAAAATTTTTTACAATCCTAATAAAATGAATAGAACAACAGGGTTCTATTTTCTTAGTTTTGTTGGAGACAATATAATGTAGAATTTAATATTTAATTTAAAGTATGTAAGTCTAATCGTCTATATGTGTTCTTATAGATTCGTCTTTATTTTATAGAAGAATGGTAAGCTATACAATTATTTCAGCATTGTTTAAGGTATCGCTAGGAATTTATAGATAAAATGAATCACCACCTTCCGGATACAATGACTTTAGATAAAATGTAAGACAGAACTTCTGAAAGTTTAATCTACATTGGCCTGCCGGTTGCCTCAAGTTGCAGAATTCTATGAAGGTACTGTGGTGACTATACATATTTGTAATACGACAGAAAATTAACATGATGATTATGAGTAACAGTTGTACATTTTTTCATTCGACTATTTCCCGAAAATAATGAGTTTCTTTTTTTATACAGCTTGACCGCAGATTTCGAGAATCGAAAAGTTTGAGTCTTTAATTGCTTTTCCGCAAGTTTTGAATTCGAGTTTTCCATTTTTTTAAAACAGCTTGTAGTGAAATTTGGTGTTCACGTGCAATGACTAGCCACATGGATTTCTCATATAGTATATTAATGCTGTATATTGAAAATTTGTCACGGTTCTCATGCCGACTAACATTATGCACATCTGACTTCTTTTTCGACAGTTTGGTCTCGGCTTGTATGATTGGCTTTCAAACGTCTGCACTCCCGTTATTGTTAGTACCGTTGTAACAACGATACTTATTGTTCGTGTTCTTTTGCAAAAACGTCGAGCAGGTCAACGAGGAATCTGGCGACGCAATCGTAAAATGGTTGTTCAACTGGCATCCGTCTCTATTGTGTATCTTGTTATTTGGATTCCTAGTGTTGTCTGTTTTGTAATTCCACTGATTGTTCCAAACCTATTTGCTATTGAATTAGCTTTTTCTGTTCTCGCTTACACTCAGTACTTCCCTTGCCTTTTATGCCCGTTTATGTGTCTTATCGGACTGCCTGAAGTATGCGACTCTATCAAGCAAAAGTTTACTCGATTAAATACTGTACAACCTTTGGCTTAAAGTCCTAAAAATTTATCTGATCATTAATGCACTATTAATAGGAATAAAATATAGCATTTCCTTCACTTGATGTGTACCGAAAAGAACATATTTTAGCTTTATCCATAAAGTGTCGCATGAAATATCTTTCGTATTTTTTTTCTTGAATTCCTTAGACGCAAATGTTTCTGTGAAATAAATTGATGATCCATTCAAATGCAATAATTCAATTGACAAACTGTCTTATCTGTACATAGTGGCTTAAAAAGTCAATGACATGAATTTGATTGCAAATAACTTTTGATTTTTATTAAATGTTCACTCGAATTCAGGATTCATAACGAAAAATGTTTTATTCAATAAAATGCAGACTATAGTTAATTAACAGAGTTGTTCGATAAATTCATGTATAAAGGCAAAACTCTACTGACCAGAAAAGGTCTCCAACTGTCAACTCTCTTTTTGATCAAATATGTGGTCAAACGATAGACTTCAACAAGCTATGAAAAACCTCACAAGAATTTGGTTTTCAGGCCTTCTGAACAAAGATGTATGACTAATAATATTACCGGTTTTGTTGTACTACTGTACTAATACATTTCATAATCTGACTTAGCATGCTTTGATACAGATTAAATTGATATCAATAGAGATAATCAAATTCTTCTCTCTTTCTAACTGTGTAATAAGATGTATTACACGAGATGATGGAAAAGACGATGCCAAGAATATTCAAATTCACTTTACGGCTCGAAATATATCCGTTAAATTAATTTTAAACTTTGTTGCTTTTATATTTATGAATAGCTTTGACATCTTTTGTAGACGATTCTGGTCGAAAGTGTAGCTCTACAATGTGATAGAAAGATTGTATTCATGTATTAAGTCTATAATAAGATGTAATGCAATTCTATGAAGATCATTTTATTACTCAAGATTATAGATTGCTCAAGTTTAAAATACACTTGGTAAAGCTTTGGACTATTCACTTCACTATCTTTTCGTTATTGACTATGAGAAAAAAATGACCTAAGAGGTCCAATTTGAGAAAGTCAGTGCCTCAGTATTTTAGTGATCACTGCAACATTGGCCCAATGCTGGATATAAAGAGATCATATCAGATTCATCTATCTGGATGCTCAAGATTAAGTGGCATATCTTTCAGAGCCTTAATGCTGAGTTTTTACCATTCATTTTCTATCAGACGACGTTGTATTTTCCCATAAAATAACTCTTTAATGGTGAGATAACGAGGCATTAAAGAAGATTCATGTAGGCTCGACTATTTTTTTTTTAATTATCTGTTCTATTATTCAATAGAGCGCTCGTTTCAGCTGGAAGTTCATTATCATGTATAGCTAAGTTGTTATTTCATTATCATTTTCTCGTGCTCTAATTCAGTGAAAAGCTATTCATATAATCTTGTTTAATTGGTTAAAACTTCAACATTTATTCAAGTTAACTTTTCAATAGTATTTCAAGTTTGAATTATTGCCGTTAAACTTTGAATCTGTTTACAATGCCACAGTTCAACATCATTGTGAAATCCAAGGAAAAATCTAAATTTTCAAAGTGAGTATCTAATAATGCTGTTGTAAAACAGAAACATACAAAACCAAACGCCTCAAAAATAACAAACAATAATCAAGTTGCAAAGATGTCTCGTAAACATCTTATTGATTCATTAGCTGAAATGGGCATATTAATTCTAACTGGTATAACAACTGATGTATTACGTCTGTTATATGAAACTAATATTATCGATGAACAAAAGAAAAAGAAGAATAAACTTACAATTGCATCAGCAATGACTAAAGCTCATCATAATCAACATGCTGCATCGGCTGATGATTCTTCGGATGATGATACACATCAAATTGATGATGTTAATATTAATTATAACAAAATGACTTAAGCCGATACACAAGATGAAGAAGGAGACTATATTATTGCTCGTCAACCAAAAATATCAACCGAATTTTCTCATCAAGCTGAAATAACAAATAACATTAACAACAATTCTGGTAAGCCGTTTACATTGTTTTCGGTTCTAACGGCTGAAGAGAACTTACATTTTGGAAGTAGTGGACTATCTGTACGAGGAGACAGTTATCTTGAAACTGTTCCGAAAGATTGAAGAAAAGCTATTATTGAAAGTTATAATGTTAATTTGGTTCGTCTTCTTCTTTCTCGAGACAACAAAAAATATAGTCGTAATGATGATGATGATGAAGACAAAAATGTTTATCTTAAACAAAAAGATGATCCTCGTTTAGATAACAACCTTACTATTCTTGAATTAATATTAGCTTTTATACGTTATTTAAATGTCATCTGTGAAGTTTTTTCTCAACGACGTCGTGAATTAACAGCTTATTTGTGTGATATAATTCGTTTATCTTCTCGGTTCGGCCATCCTTTTTTCTATCATTACCACCGTTTATTTGCTCAAAAAGCTGAAACTCTCTTGCAAACATGTAACATTTTGATTGATTGGTCCAAACGAGACCACGATATTTATTTTAATGTCTTCTCTGGATTACGATCAATTGTTTGTGATTTATGCCGAAGTCCAGATCACTCCACATTTTTTTGTAAAAAAAATACTCAATCGGGATGATTTAATCGGAAAAATGTTATCGGAAAATCACGATTATTTTCCATTTTCAACATCATCGAAAGTTTATTTTCGTCAAGCTTTAGGTAGTGATGATATTAAGCAAGATTCTGGTCCTACTTGTAAATTTTATAATGGAGCCGGTTTCGGAAAATGTGTTCAACTGAATTGTCGCTTTCTTCATTTATGTTGTCGTTGTCGAGGTACACACCCCAAAAAATTGTGCAATATCAAATAAATTGACATTATATATAAACTGTATTGCTGCTATTAATAATATTAATAATATTAATAATAATAATTAAAAAAAAAGGTTTAAATAATCCTACAAGTACGAATAATAATATAATAAATATAGAAATAGGTTATAACGATTAAGGATTCTCTAATAGAGCATTTTTTTTTCATTTAAATTGAATTAACGTATTTATGATATGAGTCGCTGTATTATGTTTGCTATAATTGATCTAATTATCATTTATTTATAGTTACCAGTTGCTCTACGAGCATTCCTCTAGTAGCAACTGCGCCAATAGATATCTGTCGATTGGAGAAAGAATTAGCTGGTCATCCTGATAAGCTTGTTATCAGGCTTACGTGAAGGTTTTGATACTGGTATCTCCAACATACCTAATAAACCTTTAGAATGGCCCAATTTACGATCAGCACGCCGTAATCCTGAAAATGTTACTCGTTTAGTGGCAGAAGAACTTAACAAAGGTTTCTTAATCGGTCCGTACAACTCTCCACCCTTTATTAATTATCGAATAAATCCTATTGGTTTGGTTGAATCGAAATATTCAAAAAAGAAACGTTTAATTGTTGATTTATCTGCTCCTCATAATGATAAAGACCATCCAAGTATTAATTCTTTAATCTATATAGATTCCTATTGTCTATCATATGTTACTGTTGATGATGCTATTAAAAGTATTCAGCAATTAGGAAAGGGTGCCTGAACGAATAAAGCTGGTATTCAAGATGCTTTTAAATTGCTTCCCATTAAACCATCTCTATGGTCTTTCTACGGTATTAACTGGAAGAATTACTATTATTTCTTTATACGCTTACCATTTGGTTCGCGTAGTTCACCTAAATTATTTGACATGTTAAGTGAAGCTATTGTTTGGATTGCTGAACATAAGTATGGTATTAAAAACATGTTACATTTATTGGATGACTTTTTTGTAGTAGACAGTCCTGATGACGGTGGAGAACGAACATCTGCCATGATTAGTTTTATTTTCAATCGGCTTAAAATTCCTTTATCAGTAAATAAAACTGTCGGCCCTGTTCAAGAAATTGAATATTTAGGTTTTATTCTTGATTTAAATCGCTTGGAGGCAAGATTACCTCAAGAAAAAGTATTACGTTTCATGGAAATGATTAGATCTTTACTTAATCGACGTAAATGTAAAAAATGTGAATTACTAGTTGTCCTAGGTCACATGTCATTTGCATCCAGGGTTGTTATTCCAGGCAGAACATTTGCTCATTATTGATTCAACTTGACCACTTATGTTCGATCTCTAGAATCACATATTACCATTAATCGGCAATCCCCAACTCGACTTAACAATGTGGTATCGACATTTGAGTGAATGGAACGGGACTTTTTTCTTTCTTGATCCTAATATTTTCACCAATACTGATTTGGCTTTCTCTACGGATGCTAGTACAACTATCGGGTGTGGTGCTGTTTTTGGGAATGAGTGGTTTTCTCATCGGTGGTCTGAGCAAATGCTTAATCTTCCAGAAAATGAAAAATCAACAGCATTCATCGAGATTATTCCTATCGTTATTGCCGCAGTTTTATGAGGCTCTCAATGGAAGAGGAAGCGAATTTGTCTTTTATGTGATAACCAGGATACAGTTAACATAATTAATAAAGGTCGATCAAAAAGCTCTTTTATTATGGCGTTTACGCGTAGATTAACTTTACTTGCCATGCAACATCAATTTTTATTACGAGCTGTTTATATTTCTACATACGAAAATAATTTAGCCGATGCTCTCTCTCGTTTTCAGGTAAATCACTTTCGTCAACTATTACCAACCGCCGATCGATACCCGAAAAACGTTCCTTCAAATGAAAGATCTAACCTTTCCATCGATCGAATCGATAGTATTGTAACTGATTTATTTAATAATACTATTGCTTCAACTTCGAAAACCTCGTATTCTTCTGGTTATCAACTTTTTACTCGTTTTGCAGTTATGTCCGGTTTTAACATGCATTCTTATCATTTACCCCATAATCTTATTTTATGTTTCATAGCATATTGTCATGATATTTGTAACATTCGATATTCTACAATTCGCTCTTACTTAGCTGCTATTCGTTTTTGTCGTTTACGTTCTGGCTTTTCTGATCCATTTTTAGATATGCACCGTTATAAAATACCATAAATTGAAATGGTTCTTAAAGGCGCACGACGTTTAGATTCCTTACCCACCAAACAATGCAAACCTATTGCCATCGATATTCTAAACAAATTAATTGGTGTATTACGATGCGGTATATTTAATTCATATCTCGATACATTAATGCAAGCAGCACTTACTACTGCATTTTGGGGTTTCTTCAGATCCGATGAATTATCTCCTGATAAATTTTCTTCACGCTTACATGTTACGAAAGCTGATGTTTACTATGATATAAATTGTATTATTATTCATTTAAAATCATCAAAAACTAATATACAACGGAGAGGAGTGAATATTCGTTTGTATAAAAACGGATCTATTAATTGTGCAGTTCATGCTTTAAATTGTTTTACTCTTCTTCTCAACAGCAATAATCATGATTCTCCTTTCTTTCTTTTATCCAACGCTCAAGCATTTACTCGTCGTGCTTTTATCTTCAATTTAAGACATTTATTGCTTCAATTATGTTATGAGTGTCGGTGTGGGTGTGGGTATGTGGTGTGGGTGTTGGTGTCGGTGTGGGTGTGAGTATGGGTGTGGGTGTCGGTGTGGGTGTGGGTGTGGGTGTGTGGTGTGGGTATGGGTGTGGACATGCATGCGGGTATATATGTTTCTATATAGATTACACCAACACTCACACCCACACCCACACTCAAAATCCACACCCTTAATTGAAACAACTGATTGAATCTTAAATATTTATTTACAAAATTAAATTATATTTTTTCTTATTTAGATTTATCACAACAGCGATCTAATGTTGAGTATTTATTTTAAAGAATTATATATTTTTTTACTTAGATTCATCGAAACAACAGTTTCAATCGTAAGTATTCATTTACAAAACTAAATTATTATCTTTTTTGGTTTAGACTCAGCCCAATGACATATCTAAACTTAAGTATTTAAAAAATTAAGAAATATTTTATTTAGATTTAGGGGTCAAACACACTAGAAAGGGGAATTAAATTAATTTCGTTTTAAGTCAACACTCGTTCACACTAAGCAATTAAGTCACTAAAGAGAGTGCAGTACAAATCTCTCTGATGTAGGCCAAGTGCATAATAGAAAATAGTAATGAAATGATAGATGTTTCTGTTGTATGTGTACGATTTTTACCATGGTATTATTAAATACGTTTTTAGAATTAGAAAATGTATCGAACCAACTTGTATAAGCAGTTAACCCTTTGAGTCCCATAGTAGAAAAAAAGCTACACATGTTTCATAATCATTGCTCACAATATAATCTATAAAAATTAGTCCCTAATACCTTGGAATGAAGTAATAAAGAATGCTCTAGAATCCTCTCCAACTATCTGTAAAGGAAATATATAGTTGTTTATATGTTTCTGTCTAAAATGACCTAATCTAACAGTCTTCTTGAATTGAATCCAGCAGAAATAATTTGGGACTCAAAGGGTTAATCTGATCTTTTTAATTAGAATTAGGCAGAATTTTAACAACGCTAGTTTCATAAACTTCTTTAAAACATATTTGAAACGGAAGAAACGATTGAAAAATAAGCAAAAATTTCATTAATAATTTATCTTAACAAAAGAGAACAAGAGATTCCATAACAATTTTATAACGAAAAAAAAACAAAATGTTAATTGTTTGCAATGAAAAAAACAATATAATAATTCCCTAGACTGAAAGGCTAGGGTCTAGAAACCGAAATTCACCTGTGTCTGTCTGTCTGTCCGTCTGTCTGTCTGTCTGTCTGTCTGTCGGTAACGCGGTCAAAATGGCCATTTTTTTGGCACATGTGACCATTTTTTTGGCACAAACGACCATTTTTTCGGCACAAGTGACCATTTTTTTGGCACAAGTGACCATTTTTTTGGCACAAACCACCATTTTTTTGGCACAAACGGCTATTTTTTTACTAAAATTAACTAGGTAACTATGGCACAAACGGTCATTTTTTTGGTACAAACGACCACGTAACTATGGCACGGGTGACCATATAGCAACCATGGTACAAACAACTATTTCGGTAACTATGGCACAGATGACCATATAGCAACCATGGTACAAACAACTATTCCGGTAACTATGGCACGGGTGACCATATAGCAACCATGGTACAAACAACTATTTCGGTAACTATGGCACAGATGACCATATAGCAACCATGATACAAACAACTATTCCGGTAACTATGGCACAGATGACCATATAGCAACCATGGTACAAACAACTATTCTGGTAACTATGGCACAGATGACCATATAGCAACCATGATACAAACAACTATTCCGGTAACTATGGCACAGGTGACCATATAGCAACCATGGTACAAACAACTATTCTGGTAACTATGGCACAGATGACCATATAGCAACCATGGTACAAACAACTATTCTGGTAACTATGG